TAAATTAAAATAAATAATAAATAAATAAAATAAAATAAAATAAATAATATATATATATATATATATATATATATATATATATATATATATATATATAAATATATATAAATTTATATGTATATTTATATGAATATTTTTTTTTTTTCGATTATAATATTATATTTTAATCTTAATTTATTTTAATTTTCATTTTTTTTTTAATATCTCATTCTTTATTAATAATTATGATTAAAAATATAATAATATTTACATAATATTAATCATAATATTCATAATTAAATTTTAAATAATTTAAATATATTATATGTTAAATTATTTTTAATATTTATAAATTTTTATTTTAAATTAAGAAATTGTATAAAAATTGATAATGTCGCCTTTTATTTTTAATTAAGTTATTTTAAATAATAGATGATTATTTATATCATTATATACCCTAATAATAAGTAAATATATCTATTTTTTATTATTAAAAAATTATTATAAATAATTAATTATATTAATAGTATCTCTATAATGGCTATTACTTATTTTCTATTATTTTATATTTAATTGATTGTTTATTTTTTTTTAAAAAAATTTATTAATAGATTAATAGTTATATTATTATTATATTTTTTAAAAAATAATATTAAAATTGTATTTTATTATGAATATTTTTAAATGTATAAAAATTAATATTATTGATAGATATATTGAATGTTTAGGCTTATTTTACAATAAGTAAGAATTTTAAATTTTATACCAATAAGATTAAGAATAAGATACTTAAGAAGAAACTAAAACTTAAGTTTTAAGTGAATAAAATTGCATTTAATAAATAATAAAAGAAAATAATGTGAAAAATTAAATAAATATAAAAAAAGAAATTGATAATTAACTTTTATTTAAATAACAATATATTCTTAATAAATAATAATATAAAAATAATAATAAAATAAACAAATAATTTGATTCTTAATAAAATTTTATTGAAGAAAATGAAATATAACAAAGCACGTAAAATTAAAATTATAAAATAATTTATATATTATATAAATTTAATAAAGAAATGATTATAATGATGAAGATGATAAATGGCTTGATATAGAAATAAAATTATGAATTTTGTAATATTAAAAATTATATTTGTATTTATTTTATAATTAAAAGAAAAATAAAATAAAATATTTTATGAGTATAATATATAAATATATAAATATATATATATATATAAATATATATATATATATATATATATATATATATTTGAATATATTAATATTTAATTAATAAGCATTAATTACTTTAATATAATTATAATTTGATATAAAAAAATTTATTATATTAAATAAAATTATTTAATAATAATTTTATTTATTATTAATAAAACTATATTCTAATATTACAATAAGTTATTTTTCGTAGAATACATAATAAAAAATATTAAAAATATTTTATATTTATATATATATATACAACGATTAAATATTCAAGTATAAAATAAATGAGTGAAAATCAAGATTTATATTCCAATTAATTTTATGAAATTAATAATTAATAACATTAAAACTAAATTGATCGAGTTGAAGAAGAAGAATAAATAAACTATTAATACAATAATTAATAAAATTTAGAAGATGAATATGAAATAGAAAAAGATGACGATTTTCCAGAATATGCAAATGAATAAAATAAAAGACTAAATGAAATAGTATAAATAAATTTATATTTATAATTATTAAAAATAAAATATTAAAAATAGATAATCAAAAAAAGAAATTTAATTAAAGACATATAAAATAAGTTTGAAGAAAAATCAGAAAGAACTAAAGTTTTAAAAGAGCATTTGAAAAATGTTTAATACGAACTTTTAAATACAAAAGCATTAGTAAAAAAAAATTATAAATATAAAAATATATAAAAATGATATAAATATATATATATATATATATATATATATATTTATATTTATAACAATCTAGATAGATACTAAAAATAAAGAAATAGAAACTGAAGATCATATTAAATAAATAACAGAAAGACAAATCGGTCGTATTTAAAGCGAAATGGTAATCCTTGAAAAGCGCACAATTGAATAATAAGAAAAATTAAACGACTTTTAAAATTAGATATTTAGAGGTAACGAGAAATTAGACCAATTTAAACTTGAGATGAACTGGAATTAAGAAGAATTAGAATAATGGGCTCTTGCTGCTCGTTAAAAAGAGGAAGATAATTTAACTTTAGAAAAATACAAAAGGGCTGACGAGGTGAAGACCAAAGAACTAAATTTGGCTATTGAAAAACTTACTTAAGGTCTAGGTTTAAAATAGTAAGAATTAGAAAATGAAATAACAGAAACATAGGCTACATAGATAGAGTTAGATAAAACTGCTGAAGAATTTAAAAAGCAACACAATGATAGACATAAGTTATTTTTACAATGGCAAGAGGTAACTGAGATTATATCAAAAAGAGACATTTAAATAAGATAAGAAGGTGAGAATTTCGCTAGAACAAAAATAGAAATAAAGTAAAATAAAGATGGTTTAGAAGAAAAAAAAAAGATCCTTAAAGAAGAAATAGACAATAATAAAAAGATTTAAATGGCTAATGAGTTTATTTAAAGACAGAATATTTAATAAATTCAAGAAAATAAGAATATCAATGAAATTTTAATCAATAAAAAAGCTGAAGTTGAAATTCTTAAAAATCAAGTTAGTGATTTTGCCTCTAATCTATAAAATAAAAAAAACAGAATTTCAGTTTTAAACCAGGAACTTTTGGCTAAAAAATAAAGACTCACAATTGCTTAAAAAAAATACTAAAATAATCAAGTTAAAATCATAAATGAATAATAAATAGCTTAAATTTATGAATAAAATAAAAATTTGGCAGAATAAAAATATAAACAATTCGAAAAAGAAAGAAATGAAATCGAAAGGGAAATTAAATCCTAAAAAGATATACTGTTTAAAAATACTTAGGATTTATTTAAATTAAGAGAATAAGAAGCTAATTCTTATGGAGAAATATAAGGAAATATTGCAGCTTGTAGAAATCTATAATCACATATATAGAAACTAAACTAGGAGTTTTAAAGATAGCAAGAGTTACTTTATAATGTTGAGTATTAAATTTAATTAATGGAAAGAAAAGTCGCAAGAGCTAAAGGAGAAAGAACTTTAGAAGAAAAAAAAGACTTGGAAAATGAAATAGAATAAGCCGAAAAAATATTCAATAAAGTTTAAAAAGATAACATAGAATTAAATGAATCATTAAAAAAATTAGATGATGAAATAAGACAAGTTAAAAAAAAAGTAACTTTATATAAAATATATATTTAAATATATAAATATATATATATATATATATATTTATATTTAAATATATATATCTATCTATATATATAATTATTATTTAATTTTTTTAATTACAGTTAGAATTAATAGTATCAGAAAATTAGAAATTTTCAAGTTTAATTGAAGAATTAATACTAGAAAATGATATGACTTACTAAGACTTAAATAAAGTGATAAGAAATAAAGAAGAAATTCTCGTTTAACACGACACAATGAAACTTGAAATAAAAAAAATACAAGAATACCTAAATGGAGCTGCTTCCAAAGTTTTTGACTTAGAAAATACAGTTTATTAAATAGAGATGAGTATGTAGGAAAGAGAAAAAGAAATTTAAGTACATAAAGATGTCCTAATGACTGAACACAAATCTTCTGAAGACGAAAGACATAAAATAGCAGTTGAATTAGCAGAAAGAAAAAATAAAGTTAAAAACTTGAAAATTAAATACGAATCTTTAGTTTAAAAAAATAAAGGGTCTAATGGATAAGTTGATAATGTTCATGAACATTCACAAGCCTATTATGTTATTAAAGCAGCTTAAGAAAGAGAAGAATTACAAAGAAAAGGAGATGAACTAAATGGTATATATATATATATATATTTTATACATATTTTTTATTTTATAAAAAAAGCCAATATTTTAAAAAGTGAAAAGGAATTAATAGCTTTAGAAAATACTTTAAGTCATTTAAAAAATAGAAATTCAAAATATAGAGATAGCTTTCTCAATAAAGTATATATATATATATATATATATATATATATATATATATATATATATATATATATATATATATATATTTAAATATATATTTTTTATATATTTAATTAAATTTATTATAGGGAATAACTATAGAAGATAAACAATATTTAGAAGGTTTAGAAGAATAATGTAGAGCTGCTTCATAAAACTTATTTAAAAAAAGAGATATATTATAAAAACTATAAAAAGAATATGAATTAGATAAAAGAAGACTATTAGAATATTATAATAAAGTAATAAAAAATTATATAAAATATATAATTTAACTTATATTTAGACATAACTTTTAAATTAAAGATAATAATAAACTCAATAAATAATTGATAAATATATGAAAGATATTGACAATTAATAATATAAAATACAAAGAGCAGAATAGGGGTACAATAGATCCATTTTAAAAATTTAATAGAAAAAAATAAATATTGATAATAAAAACAATCCTTATATAAAATAACTTAAATATGAAATAGAAGTTAATAAAACAAAAACATTATTATCTAGCTTATAGTATAATATATATAAATATATATATATATATATATATATATATATATATATATATATATATATATTTATTTAATATATTTTATTTCATTAATTAAAAGTACTTTATCATAGGACATTCCTGAAATAAGTGTACTAATTGATTAAGTTTTAAAAGAAAAAAAACTCACTTTACCCTCTAAAGCGCCTTCTTCTATAGATATTAATTCTTAATAATCTATTGGATCTGTTCATTCTTAAAATTCAAGTATCTATTTTGTTTATTTATATTTATTTATTTTATTTAATTATAGTAAAGTCTAATATTTTTAGTTAATGAAATAAATTTAATATAAAATTTTATAATGTTTTTTTTTTTTTTTATTAAAAATAATATTCATAAAATTTGTAAGAAAGTTCACAAAAAAAAAACAAAAACAAAAACATTTAAATATAAAATATATATATATATATATATAGTTATATAAAATATTTTTTTAAAAACAAATAATTGCCTTTTCACATTTAATCTAAACTTGTTTTAATAATTTCTAAAGCCTAATCGACTTACTATCTATTAATAACTAACGGTGGTGAGAATCTAATAGTAGTTTCGTGAGTTGGTTTAGCCAAAAGTCCATTATTTTTAAGTTTATAGCAAAATTTCTAAGCAGTTTATTTTTCATCTTCATGAAATTCCAAAGCACAAAATAGTCCTCTCCCCCTACTTTCTTTAATAAACGGTTTTTTGATGTTTTTTAATCCCTATAAGAATATTTTTCCCATTTCTAATGAATTTTCTACCATTTTTTCTTCTAAAATAGCTTTAACTGCCGTAATAGCGATTTTAGCACCTAAAGGATTTCCTCCATAAGTGCTTCCATGTTCTCCTGGATTAATTTAATCCATAACCTCATTATCTGTAAGAACTGCCGAAACCGGATAAAATCCGCCAGTGAGTGCCTTAGCCAATAAAACAATATCTGGTCTAATATTATCCCATTGATGTGATAATAATTTTCCAGTTCTCCCCAATCCAGTTTATATTTCATCTATAATTAACAAAACATTATATTTATCACATAATTCTCTAACTTTTTTGAAATATCCTAACAAAAAGAATAAAAATAAATATAAAAAATAAATATAAATATATATAAATATAAAAAATATATATAATATATATATATATATATATATATATATTATTATATATATTTATATATATTATTTATTATTATTTTTTTATATATTTATATATATATTTTCATTTTTACCATCTTAAGGTAATATAACTCCTCTTTCTCCTTATATGTGTTCAACAAAAAAAGCAGCAATGTTCTTATCTTCAATAAATTTCTGTTCTAATTGCTCAGTATTATTAAAATCTATTAATTCAAAACCTAAACCTCCAAAAGGTCCAAATTATCTGTATCTTGAAGGATCGTCTGATGATCCGCAGGCTGCAATTGACCTTCCCCAGAAATTTCCGTTTGCAAAAATCACTTTTGCTTTATTTTCGGGGACTCCTTTTATCGTATATGCCCATCTTCTAGCAAATTTTATAGCAGATTCACCGGCTTCGCAACCCGAATTCATCAAAAGTACTTTCTCATATCCAAAAGTATTTGATAGAAATTCTTGGCATTCTCCCAAATTCGAATTGTAATAAGCTCTGGAGGTCAATGTCACTTTCTAGGCCTATTCAATGAAAGTTTTTAATATTTTGGGGTGACAATGGCCTTAATTTACTGCTGAATAAGCAGCTAAAAAGTCCATATATTATTTTCCTTCACAGTCATAGACATGTATACCTTAGCCGCGATCAATTACTACAGGAATGGGACTGTAATTATTACAACCGTATTATTTTTCAAGTTATATAAAATGTTAGGATAAAGAAAATTGTTTTTTTATAATTTTTGTAAGCATTTTAAAAGAGAATGTTTATCAGATTTTAATGATGAATTAAATTTATTATTATAATTTATTTATTTAACTTATTTTTTATGATTAATTCTTATAGGGAAAATAATTATTATAAGAGAATTTTCTAGATAGTATTAAATTTTTATTTATATTTAAAATTTAATTTAAATAAATGTATATAATTAAATTGAAATATGTTTTATTGTAAAATTTATTTATAAATATAATATATATATAAAAATAAAAAAAAGAGTTTTCAGTTAAAAAAAAGTGAATAAATAAAATAAAATATATATATAAAATATATTTATATATATATATATATATATATTATATATATTTATAGATATATTTATTTATATTATTTATTTTCTTTTTCCTTATATTAATTTATCATTATATCTAATACACTCTAAAAAAATTATATATAATTTATTTTATATTTAAAAATTTTAAAAACCTTAAAGCTTTCCCATCAATCAAATAAATGTGAGTGTTTATTGCATTTGCGAAATTAAAATAATTTTTTTTTTTAATTTTATCATATGTTAAAAAACATTTTAGTATGTTTAAAATGATAAAAAATTGATAATCTTTTATTTTTAAATTTAAACTTAATATTTATTTATCACTATCTATGTATTTATTAATAAATTATAATATATGAAATATATATTTAACTTTTTGATTTTTAAAATCTATATCTCTATATTTTTATTTTCAAATGGATTATATTATATATATTAAAGTACTAAAACTTTAAATAATGGCATTATAATCACATATTATATATTTTTATATAAATATAATTATATTTTTATAATATTATTTTTCTTTTGCTTAAAAATCTTACATAATTAATAAATTATTTCCTATATTTTCATAAATATTAAAGTAATTTTACTTTTTTATTCTATTATTATTATTTATCATTAAATATATATTTCATCTCAATATTAATTTTTATTATTATATTTTTTTTTATTAAACACTATCCTCCCGTCCTCTTCTTTATAATTAATTTCGAATTTAACTAATAATTTTTAAAAAGAATTATTACTTGAAGATACAAATCTTTATATTATAAGTATATAATTAGTTTATCTAATATATATTTACATATTTATTTATAAAACAAAAAAAGAAAATACTCCGGAAATAAAAATTATTTAAATATATAGTTTTTTGTTGAAGTTTTTTATTATATTTTTTTAATAATAAGATATAAATATACTCCTTCTTAATATTTAAATAGCCAAGTAACTTTAAAAAATATTAAATATTAGTATATTATTTTTAATATTATATTTTAAAAATAATTTATTTGATTAATATTTTTATTTATAATAATGAAAAGAATTTAAATTTTAATATTTTTTCCTTTATTTTAAACAAAAAAAAATAAAAAAAAATAAAAATAAAAAAAATATATTTTAAAACTAATTTATAATCAAATAATTAATTTTTTTCTACTATATTGTAAAAAAATATAAACTAAAACAATTAATTTTTATGATATATATATAAATTTTTAAAAAAATGTAAACACATTTTTATATTATTATATAATAAAAAAAGAAAAATATAAAAAAAATTATATATTTATTAAGCATAAATATATATATATATATATTTATATAAATATTTATATATATATTTATATATATTTAAATCTACTATTAAAAAAAAAAAACAATAAAATTTTAATAAATAAAATAAAAATAAACTTTATATATATATATATTAATAAACATATATATATATGTTTACCACTTAACTCATAAACTAAACATTTACTAATAGTTTTCAACAATTAAACACTAATAATATTACACCTATAATAATAAATACACCAATAAATTCCTCTCCAATAAGAATTAGAAAAAAATCGAATTTATTTTCCTAACCAAATTATGTTATACATAAAGTTAAAAATTTATCAAGTACACCCGTACATATTAAATCTGCTTTTAAGTAAACTCATAATAAATAACTTCTAGAAAAGTTAAATATTCATTAATATTTTGAAAATAATAATTAAAAATCAATATTTAGTAATTTAATTAAAAATCAATAAACAAATACAATTATACGAGGCCCTAGTTATTCACTCTCTATACCTTAAAATAGTGCTCAAATAAGCAATATATTCGAAAACAGGCCACCAAGTACTCGAAAACAAAGTTATTATAATGCAAAATTAGTCCAATTAGATGGAATAGGACCCAAATATGATGAAAAAGGGTGCATAATACCCCATTCAATAGTCGGAAAGGTAAAATGGTACTTAGATTAAGCATAAAATGGTAATAGAAATTTAAATGAGAGTTATTTTGTTAAAAGCATTCAACGAATAAGTCGAGAAACTCGAAATTCTATATATAAGAGACCTATAATAAATGAAAATAAGGAAAAATATATATAAAAATTAACTAAAAAATAACTGTTAAATGAAATAGAGAATTTTTTAGAAAAAAAATAAGAAAATGATAAAAATAAGCAAGAAAATGCTCTTTTATAATTTGAAAAATACTAAAACTTATGGAATAAAATCGGATAAAAATTAGAATAAAAAAGAGTAAAAATAAAATAGGAAAAAAATGAATAAAATTAGTCAATTTCTATATTAAATGAAAACGAATATAATAATAATTAGTTTTAAAGTCTTTTTTATAAAAGTGGCATTAAATATAGATAAAAAATAGAAAAAGAATAAATGAAAGAAAGAATTAAATAATAATAATAATAACTATTAGAATCTTTTTGTTGGGAAGAACAATTAAGAGTAAATAATAGCTTATAAAAATTTGAATAATTATATAAAAAAAAAAATTCTTATGAGAGAAATAGATGTAATAGTAAAATGGATTACTCAAAAGAATTATATAAAAAATTCCAATAAAAAAATTAACCAGAAAAAATACTTTAAAATTATTTAAAAGTAATATTTTAAATATATAAATATTTATATATATATATATATATATATATATATATATAATTTAATTAAAATAAAGGTATAAGGATAAAATAAACTAATAAAGGAAAAAAAAGCACTTTTAAATGACGGGTAGCACATATATGAATAATATGAAAGGATAAATTTAGATTAGAAATATGAATATGATTAATAAAATTTAATTATATAAAAATAAAATTAATTAAAATAATAATAATAACAATTAGAAAACAATAGTATTAAAAACTATAATTTAAATAAATTACATATATAGATACAAAATTCAGATGTAAATAAAAATTTCTCATTTTAATAAAATAAAAATAATTAAAATAAAAAAAACTGTAAAATAAATATTAAGTAATTATAATTAATTAAAAATTGAGATTATTATATTGTAATATATAAATGTTGTATATATAATATATATAAATATAAATATAAATTATAAAAATAAAATAAAAATAAAATAAAATATATATATCTAAATATATATATATATATATTTAAATTTTTTCATTTATAATTTTATATTTCTTTTATATCATTTATTATCGTATTATATAATTTATTTATTTTTAATATTTAAATTAATAAATAAAATTTTTATTTTGTATGGTTTATTTTTTAACTTTTAAAAACTTAATATTTTCTTTTTTTAAAAAAAATTTCTAAGATATATATCAATATGATTTAAAAAAATTAATGTTTTAAAAATATATAAAATGAATTTAGCATGAATATAAATACATATTATATTATTAATATATATTTTTTATTATAATAAAATAGATTTTTAATAAATTATTTATATCATATTATAATAAATAGATTTTTTTTATTTATAATTTGAATAAAAACTAAAAATTTTTAATTAAATTTTTTATTTTATTTTACACATATTTATATATTATTAGATTATTATTGTATTTTGATAATTTATAATAGATTAACTTAATAAAATAATATAATAATAATAAATTATATTGGTACACATATTTAAGTAATAATATTAAAATATCATTCTATCAATACAAATAAAAAAACCAAATATTTTATATATATAATTTATAATTCCTTTTTTGTTTATTATTATATCATTTTATCAAAAAATAAAAAAAATATATTATTTCATATATCAAATAGATTAATAAATATATATAAATATTCAGAGTTATTTTTTTAAAAAAATAATAAAAATATTCAAAAAAAAAAAATTAGAAAAATTATATAAAATGACTGATATAAACCTTAGAGCAGCTCCTATATTAAACGAAGATAAAGCAAAATACTTTAAATATATTTTCACGCGAACATTATTAGGCGGTTATAATATATCTAATGACGATTTAAATATATAAATATCATACACACAGCATATAATACAATTAATAATATATACAGTATTTCCACTTATTGTATTTTTATGTGGATAATTAATATAAGAATAAACACTATCATATATGATTCCAATTATTATAAATGGAAGTTTAAATTTAATTTTATAAATAATGCCTTATATATTAAAACAAAAGGAGTTTTTTATAAAAAAAAAATCTATTTAAAATTTCTTATATAGCATTTTTATGATGCCAGCATTAAGTTTTCTAGGAAGTTAATTTATATATAGAGAAGAATCTTTAATTGTAAAAATAATAACTTTTTTTACATATCTGGTGTCTTTTTTTACAATAATTACTGACAATACACCTGAAGTAAGTTCTTTAACTAATAATAATACTGATTTCGGTTATTATTCGAATAATAATATGAGAAGTTAACATTTATTTATCATTCTTTTAATATCTTATTTTGTAGAATTTCCATATATTATTTTTTAAATTTTAATTCCTTTATTAATTTTTATATGGACTTTTGGACTTTTAGGAAATCCTTTTATTTTCTTAATTTATTGTCTAGAAAAAATAAATTTTATACTTTTAGGAAATTGCGAGACTTCAAGTAATGATTATAGGCTCATTATATAGACTATAATTTAAGTTTTTTCTATATGTATTATATCTTTAATATAAGAAAATAATGTAAAAATAGTATATATATATATATTTATATATATATATATATATATATTTATATTTTTAGATTTCTTACTTCAAATTAAATATAGTTTTATGTAGTGTTTTTGCTTATTTATTAAGTTTTAATTATTTAGGGGATTTATTTTTTTAGAAAAATGATAAAAAAAAAATATATTATTTAATTCTAAATCTTATATAATTTTATTTATAAATACAAATTTAATTCTATTGACTTTATCTATTATAATTCCTTTATTTATATCCAAAGATTTTGAAAAAAACCTATATATAATATCTTTAGTATTATTTATATCCTATTTTACCCTAAATGAATTCTAAAAAGGCTATTTTTTCTAAAGAATATTAAATGTTAGACCTTATGTAAATAAAATGTGTCTTTTGTTAAATTAATCTGTATATATAGCCTGTATTTGTTGTACAATATTATAATATAAAGACTAGTATAAATATGAAAAATACTCATATGTTTTACTCGAGAGTTTACTATTTTTTAGGCTTTTCAAATAGATATTTACTTCTCCTTTTTTTTCTGGGTTAATAATAAGTATTACTTATATTTTAAAATAAATTGGAGTTTTTTAAGATTTTTCTGATATTATTTTTTACAGTCCTTTGATATAATTAATATGTATTTTTTCACTAAATTTTTGTTCCAGAATATTAATTTGGGTTTATTCTTTATTAAAAATGAATTCTTCGAAAAAACAGAGAATATAAAGACTTTAATTATTTAATTTTTTATAAATGACTCTTTTTTTTCCTTTAAACATGATTTCTTTGGCACTTTCTAGTATGCTAGATGTACCTTTTTTGCCTGTATTTGGTCTGCCCGTTTATTTTTGTGGATTCCCTCGCCCGAAAAGATTTTGGGAAAGAATAAGCAGTTCCAACAGGTAAACCAACGAAGCTTTTATATATGAGAAATTTTCGAAAAACCTATAAAAAATTCTCGGGAATTTCCTATTGAAAAAAAGCTTCTTAAAAGTAGGTGATTTTTACCTCCTTAGATTTGAAAAATATATAGGAATAATATAAATACTAGAATGTGGAAATAACTATACTATAGTCTAATTTAAAGGACTAGAATCTTAAGAAATGACAAGTTGTCATTCTATAGAGTGTAACTAAATTGATAGAATAATAGAAGAGACTTTTATATAAAAAAAGTGTTTTTTTAAGGATTTTTTAGGGGCGGCTTTACCTTTTGGATAATAGAATATTAATATGTATGATGAAAATTAACTGCAGTTTACAGGAATAATAACCGATGAGGATTTTATTAAAGGTTTTTCGGAAATTTTAGTTAAAGTTTTGGTTTATTTTATACATGTTTTTTTCGAAGAAAATGAGTTTTTTTAATTGGATGAATTTTTAAATGAATTTTAAGAAATTTTATTAAAAAAAGATTTTCCAAAGGAAGGATTTTTGCCTATAGAATTTTGCGAAAAAATAGGATTTTTTAATGTTTTTTAAGAGGGTAAAAAAGAGGAAAAATACAAACAAAATTATAAAAAATTTAAAAGCTTTTTAAATGAGGAAGGTGCATATGAAAAAAAACCGGAAAAAAAATAAAAAATTAACTACCAAAATTTAATATGTAAGAAGATATAGAAGATTTCTTTGGAAATAAATAAAATAAAGAAACAAATATATAATAATAATAAATAAACTAAAATAATAATTAACCAATATAAAATAATTTTGATGATATATTAAATGATTTTTCGAATAAATCTTAATAATAAAAAATACCTTAAAAAAATCCAAAAAATAATACCTTTAAAATTCCTAAAGAAAACAACCCTTTTTTTAAAAAACCTCCTTTAGAAACATAAAAAATAATACCTTAAGAGCCTAAATAAACCGAAACTAAAAATCAGGAAATACCTTTAAATTTTATCCATATATAAACTTAAAATAAACAACTACCAAAATAAAACGAAGAAATAGAAGACTTTATTGATAATATAATAATATAAGACATTAAAAATTAAAGTTAAACCCCAAATCAACCTTCGAACCTATTAAATAAAAATAATAGACAATTAAATATATTAAATATAGAAAAAAAATCCTTAAAAACCTAAAATCCAGAAAAAAATACAAAAAAAATCGATTAAGAAATGAATAATTTCCTCGAAGACATCGAAAATGAGCTAAATCAAATAAAGCCTTAAAAAATTCGTCCTCAAGCCGAATCTCCTCCAACAAAAAGCAAAGAAAATATTCAAAAAGTACTAAAAATTCTCTATTTTTTAATCCTCAATGACACATCTTTTAACCCTAAAAAACTCGATTAAGCACATATATACAAAATATTTACTAAAAGTGACTTTTTATTACAAAAATACCCTTTTTTTTAGAAAAAAAAGAAGCTATTTTACATCATATAAACTTCTTTGAGGTTTTCCCTGAAAATTTCATATGATTCGTATGCCTATTTAGGTTCAAATTTAGGTATTCCAAACGATGAAATTATAAATAATATTAAAGAAAACGATGAAAAAGCTTATATAGGGATTCCATAAGAAAAATAATGGAAAAAATCAATAGAAAATGATGTAGAAGTTTTATGGACTTTAAATTTTAATACTGAAAACTAGTAAATATCAATTTCTAGAAGTTCTTTTAAAAGCGTTTAGTGTAATTTTTTTTAATTCAAAAGTGATATAGTATAGTCTATTTGGGCTAATTTAGCTTTCGAGCTTTATTACGCAACTAATGATGATGATGAAAGGTACTCTATTTAAACTCATGAATAGTTTTTTAGGAATATTTGTATTTAATAGGCGGAAGAACCTTTAGGTTATGCACCATTTTATTCAGGATGTTAAAGTATTTATTATTGATATATTTTATAATATTTATATAAATGTTTTATTAATATATAATTTATATTTTATATTTATTAATTATTAAATATTTATATAGATATATATATAAATTTATGTTTAAGTATATATTGTATTATATATATTTATATATATATATATTTATATATTATATATAAATATATATATATTTTTTGTATTCATATTTTTATCTTAATATTATTTTCTTTTATTTAATATATGTATTATATACAATTTTTTACGTTAAAAATATATTATTATTTAAATTAATTTAAAATTAATAAATTTAAAAACACACCCAATAAAGTAATTATTCAAAAAAAATAAAAATGCGAAACTAATTTAATTTCCAATAATATTTATAATAATAAAAACAAACGTTTTCAAGTGTATAACCTTAACCCAAATAATTTAAGAAAATAAGAGGAATATGCAAAAATATAATAAAAAATGATAACTCAATTAATAATACATTTAATTAAGATAATTAAACTACAGATTCTAGTTTTTCATAATTAAACTATAAAAAATGTGATACTTATTTTAAATTTGATGAAAAAAAAAGCTAGTTTTAAAATTTTTTAATGTAAAATGATTAAAATACACCAAAATTTAAATTAAGTGATGTATAAAATCAAGATAATTTAACATTTAATCAACTATTAAAGAATCAATAATATTAAAATGTTTTAAATTATATAAAAAGTATTCATAAATACAAGAAAGAAAAAGAAAATAATTTTGAATATAAAAAAAATGAATAAGAAAATAAAAATTAAATAAATTATTTTAAAAATTAAATATAAAATAAGGATAATTAAAAAAATCAGAATAAAATTTTAAAATAAGAAAATAAAAATAATTTAAATTAATTTTAATAAAAAGAAATCAAAGAAAATATTGTTATTATAGAATCTAAAAAAAATACATAAAATTAAACAAATAAAAAAACAATTCTAAAAAAATAATCAAATTTAACATCACCTAATCAATCGTTATATGTATATATTATTAATTTAAATATATATATAAATATATATATATTTATATATATTATACATATTTTTTTTTAAAGAAATCTTAAAAAAGAATTAAATTTAAAGATTATAATGATGTATTTAATATAGACCAAAAATAAAGATCACAAAGTTAAATTGTTTTTTAAAAAAATACTAGAGTTGTATATATTAAAAACTCTAATTTTTATTAGAATCATATAAATGCTTTAAACACTATAAAAAATAATTAATAATTCAGTAAATTTTTATTATTTTTTTATATTCAATATTTAATTTTTTTTTTTATTTATATAAGGTTTTTATGAATTTCAAAAATAAAGATAAAGCAGAAAATGAAATTTAAAAATTATTTAAATTATAAATATTAAATTAAATTATAAATATTTAATTTTTTTTTTTTTAAAC